TGAGTCTAGCCAAGTCACAACTGATATTCATGAGTCTAGTCAAGTCACAACTGATCGTCATGAGTCAAGTCTAGTCACAGCTGATCTTCATGAGGCAAGTCAAATCACAGTTTATTGTCATGAGTCAAGTCAAGTCACGGCTGATCTTCATGAGTCAAGTCACAACTGATCGTCATGAGTCAAGTCGTCACGTCACATAACAGCTGATCACCCAGAGTCACGTCACCTCACAGCTGATCATCCAGAGTCACGTCACTTCACAACTGATCATCCAGAGTCATGTCACGTTCCTGTCTGTTGCACCCAAATTATCAAGGTCAGTCCTTCGGTATCCCAGTCTGGTATCCAGTGTGAACACCTTCCCTATTTATACACTCACTCTGATCCCCGTCAAGCTGCCGAGTATTGTTTAGCGCTTATCGCTCATCATGTGATAGCTACGTTACAGAGCCATTTCAGAGTGTTGTCTTGTTCCAAGTTCTAGTCTAGTTATGTCTAGTTTGGTGCCTGATTGCCTGTTTCCTGATCTCCTGCCTGTCGTGGATTCTTCTATTGCCTACCTCTCTGGACATTGTTCGCCGATCTCAGACCCACGCTAGCTTTTGGATTACTCTTCGTCTTGCCCTTATATACCTGTTTGCCATTGTCTGAACCTTGCCTGTTTTATGACCACGCCTTTAAATAAAAAGCTTGCACATGGATCCGTATGTCTCACGTCTTGTCAGCCCCGTAACAATAACAAAGACACTGTAAAATAATGTTCTTCGAGAGACTTCTTTCAAAAAAGATCTTACCAACCCCAAGCTTTTGAACAGCTATGTACTTGGGAACTCTAACACCTGTCGAGGCTTTTTTAAAACAGTGCTGCATTCAATCTTAAAAACAAAAAAATTAGATCTTTAAATGAGGTGGGCAGTACCACTACAGGCTGCAGGAAGCTGATGAAGGTACAAAAGCGTCCTCTCTCCTCCACTAGAGCACGCCGCACCGCCTGTTTCTCCGTCTCCTCCATCAGCAGGTACATGTCATTCACATCCTGCATTGCACTGTCCAGCTGTGGCTGAAAGTCCCCCCGGCCTAAATGGGGTGACAAAGAGCATAACAGAAAAGAAGGGGGAAAGGGAGAAGGATGAAACAGTGAAGAACAGACAGAATTAAAAAAATGGCCAAAGAATCAGACAAAACAGCAGGTCGAATGGAAGAATGAGAAGAATGTAAAGGACAATCAAAAGAAAAAAGTGAAAACAACAAAAGGAGGCAGAACACAAGAGAATACACAGCATTAGATGAGAATCATTCTCTCTTCCAGCCTCCAACAATACGAACGCAATGTGAACACAGAACAAAATGAATTACTCCGACTAGCACCTACACAACAAATGGAGACAGACGCTTCTGAACTCTGAGGTCGAACATCTTCTACTCTTAATGAAACACATGGAACCTCCCAGAGGAAGTTAAAAGGTTAACTCATGCAGACTAGATTGTTAGAGATGGTCGTGACCTTTGCTGAGGAAGCAAAGCCAGCTATCTGCAGTAGAACTGCTTCCAGGAACACAAGCAGCATGCATGCTGGGACGGCATCAGCAAAATCATGCACAAAGCAAACCCTCAGGTGTTATAATGGAAGAAATGAGAAAGGCTGTGATCTTAAATCAGCTGTCAAGCCAAAATGTTAGGTGGGGGTTAAATCCGATGGCCACAGAACTGTCTGCAGACGTGCTTGGGTCTTTTTCGAGTTGAGGCCAGGTTAAAGGGCCATGCAGAGTGACGAGTGAGAAGAATCTAAGTGAGCCACAGCTTGGCGTGGAAAAACATACTTACCCTGTAGCTCTATAGAGAGAGAGTAGATGAAAAAGAGAGAGAACACAACATGGGGGGAATCCAAGAGAGGGTAAGGAACAGAGAGAAAGAGATACAGAGAAAGAGAGGAGGGAGAGCACTGTGTTAGGGTTAGTATTAGGAAGCAATTCAGCTCATTTCACGGCCAAATTGTTTCAGAAAAGCCAAACCACCACAGCAAATTTAACCAAAACCAAATTCAAAAATCAACCAAAAATGTACAATTTAATGTGCAGTGGACCCAAAATAAAATAAAATAAAATACGTAATCTTATCAAACGGAATGGTCTTAGAAGGAATGAGATGCCTGACTAAACAACATAAATAGGGAGCTTTTCCTTTAACACTGGAGTCTTCCTAGTAACACACAGGATTGTCATCCTATCTTCAAAAGCAGAAATTATTGGCTGCTGGGATATGAACACGAACTGCTTAGCAAATGAGGTGAGAGTTGCACTTCTGCGCTTCAGCCAGCAGAGGGGGTTGCTTACATTGCAGAGGATTGTTTCCCTCATATGAAGGGTCAGTAATTTCATCGAACACACTGTGCACTCTACACAGTCTCTATGTGGCTTTAACAACACTTCCGAGATTCAACTGTCCATCACCAACCATAAGAGGCACTAAAAACGCATTCAACACTGATGGCATATGAACAGCAGGTTGTTCTGAACATCAAATAAAACAGCCAGTTTTGACCTTGGGGAAATGTCCTTGACTTATTCCCAACATATTTCTGCTTTGTAATAGGGCAGTGTTATGTAATATTGATCCATTACTTTCACTGATATAAAAACGCTTGTATTCTAGTATGTGTTGTTTATGATACTGTTGCCATGCTTGACATTTCTTTGTAGTATTGTAAAAAAAAAAAAGATCTTTACTTAATATCTTAATGATTTCTGACATAAAAGAAAAATCGATAATTTTGACCCATAAAATGTTTGTTTTTTTGCCATTGCTACAAATATACCCCAGCGACTTAAGACTGGTTTTATGGTCCAGGGTCACATATGTGTTGTTTGTGATCCTATTTCACAGAATAAATTGCCCAAATTTGTTGTGATGCTTAACATTTCATAGTAATATTGTGAATATATTGTGTTACCTTTCCTGGCTTTCTTCTGTAATTTCATGGTGTCTGAAGATTTCTTCTTTATTTCATGACGAGACCGTTTGTACTCTGTAAAAAACGAAATGTATGAAAATTGAGTTGCTCTTTATTTTACACTACTTATAGCAATTACAATAACTGGGTAATAACTAGATACTAACCCTGAACCTGTCTTTAAACTTAACATTAACCCATGTGGTTATTGTATACTACCCAGTGCTTTCTTGGGTAAGTACAATGTAAGTATATTGTAAGTACATGTACTGTAAAATAAAGTGTAACCGAACATTTGTATGATGTCTACTCTGTAAGGACTGACATTAGTGTGCATATGGACAAAAAGGTGCTTAGTCACCTTTGGCATGGTCCTTGTCTAGTTGATTGGCTGTCTTCTTCCAGTCTTCAATACGGTCCTGTAGCGGAGTGATCAGGCTCTCCATCAAAGCACTGAGAGCAATGAAGAGAGGATTATGTTCTCAACCGTTCACAGCTGAGTCAGAGGTTCTCATTCAATTACAGAGCAATATGAACATTTGCAAGGAAATATCATCAACCCTGTGGGGGTTCAGACCATGAGAAATTAAGGCTTTGGTTTACAGTGTGGCTTAGAGTCTGAGGCATCCATTCATTAGACTGTCAGAGGGAATTGTCAGCAGATGTACTTTAATGAGGTGTGAAAATTGTGTGTATTTGTGTTCTCTTGTCTTGCCAGTGTCATCAGACTTTGAGAGTGAGTCTGCGATTAAAGTGTGTTGTGATGTTCACATTTGTGCACGTGACAGCTCAGTGTCCTGCAATTCAGAACAAAAAAAATATACGTGCACCCACACATATGAATTTTCAATCAACGAGTGTATGAAGAGAAATAATTCTGATAAGGTTTAAAAAGCTCTGAGTTAAAAAATTCAGTCTGGTCAAAACAAAACAAAACAAAAAAACAAAACAACAGTCTGGTCATTATCAAAACATCAAAACAAAACACAGTCTGGTCATTATCAAAACAACAAAACAAAAACAGTTTGGTCATTATCAAAACATCAAAACAAAACACAGTCTGGTCATTATCAAAACAACAAAACAAAAACAGTTTGGTCATTATCAAAACATCAAAACAAAACACAGTCTGGTTATTATCAAAACAACAAAGCACAGCAAAACAAAACAAAACATGAAACATTGATTAGAATACTAAGCTGATTATTGTTAGAGAAAAAACAAACTTTTGACCAAAGAATGCCAAAATCAATCAATCAATCAGATTTAAATGAGAGACTTGTAATAATTTTACAGTACATAACAGACACTCCACTGTTGAAGTTTCATATATGATTTCTGTATGAAATTCATAACTATAATGTTTTGCCCTTGTTTGTGCTCTACGTGTATTTGTGTTGTATATATACTTTTAAACTATGACACACAGTAAGCAGATGACAGGAGAAATGTTCTCGTACTTAGTAAAATGGCGTAGTTTAGCCTCAATGCTGCGATGCCTCATACACATGCGGGTCAGCGCTGATCCGATGTCTCTGGTGGCACCTACAGGAGACACAAGAGACAAAAAACTGTCAGAACATCACGGAAATTACACATAGGACACTTTATAGTTCAATGAGCAAAACCAGCATGGTAAAAACAATGGCTGCAGTCCAGAATGTTATGAGCTTCACTTTAATCACTAGCATTTTAAAGTCCATCAAGTGTACAACTTCCAGTCATTCAAATATGTATTATTAACATGGATCAGTAGTTTACACTTGCTGCAGTCCAAATAAAGTGGTTTCATTTAAAAGACTCCCCAAAGTGTGTGTGAAACCTGTAGCCACAGTATAAATTAGGCTATTTTTAGTTGAAGTTTGGAAAAAAACGTTTGGAAAATCCTGACCCCAGTATTTATAAGAGGGAGTGTGCTTTCTTCCAAAGAAGGTGGCCCGGACAGCTATTATTTCCCTTAAGTGTTTATATGTCAAACTGAATTGTTAAGTTTGCAGTACCAGTGTTGCCTGGAACTGCACTAGCCCTTTAATTTAACTGTACCATGACCTTCAATATAAGAAACAAATGATTATTTACAATTTAAAAACACTGTGTCTCTCATATGACTGTGCAAATGCGAAAATTTGACTGGCAAACTACCTCAATGTCATGTGTTTAAAAGAGTCATTGTATCAATAAACCTTAAAGCCTTATGCTTCTCTATCACAATTCAATAATCTAGGAATGATTTACCTATCGCTTCTCTGCATTAGAACTTTCAGCTTATTCTCAGGTTGATAAAAACCTACATTCCAGCAATACAGTAAATCCTGGTCTGTGCTGACCTCAGATTTCCAGTAGATCTCAGATCTCCAAACCAGGGAATAGATTCAGACAGATTAGAGATCTTCAGTAATCTAGGCTTTACAGGGTTAATCTAGGCCCATGTCAAAGAGGCACACACCCTAAATAATCAACCCTGACCCTCAAAAGGTAAGATTTTTAAACATTGGCCTGAAGACCACATTTTGACCATGTATGGAAAATTATATAGTATAGATGTTTCTCCTACAAATTCTGAGGTGAGAAAAATACCTAAATAAGGCTTGAATTTAATTGTTCACAACTGAGAATAGAGGATTATAAAATGAATGTGAATACCATAGTTCAGATTGGAAGAATTTGATGAGAAACATTTGAGTTTTACTTTTATTGCAGCTGTTCGCACCTTGACAAACAGGAGCATAGTTTGAGACATTGTTGAGATCTTTTGAGACTCAAGAGGAGACGTTAGATAACTTGTGCAATATTCTACATTTCTGCTCCATTTAATCTCATTGCTCTCTATGAGAAACAACTAAGATTTAAAAGATATCATTTGACATTTTCTCTCCTAAAAATTAGCCTTGTTAGTAACGTAGTTACTTACGTTAACACTGAATGACTTGCACACAAACAAAAAGCACATACTGTATACACACAAATTAATTCTGAAATAAATTCACTTTGTCTAATTAGTATTCATACACATCGCTCTCAGAGAGCAAATTAGTCAATCAAGCAATAGCATTAAGGCTAATTAACTTTTAAAGAATCAGACCAAGGAAAAATACCAAACACTATTCATATATA